AGAACTGAAGGTCTGCCAAGCTCTCTGCTGAGCGTCGTGTGACACAGCAGGAAACACGGCCCATTCCTGCCATCAGGAGCTTGTAAGACGGTTTATGGCAAAGGAAAGCAATCATTTTCGTGCACACACACACTTGTATGCAGAAGACATCCTATCCTGGGTTTGTGGCTACAATAGTCAAATGCCGTTTCTGCAAACTATTGGTCAGGACATTTCAGTTAAAATGGACAACAGGGCTGGGTGTGGTGGCTCACGCCTGCAATCCCAGCATTCTGGGAGGCCAAGGTGGGCAGATCACTTGAGGCCAGGAGTTTGAGCCAGTCTGGGCAACTTATGAGACCCCCGCCTCAAAAAAAAAAAAAAAAAAAAGAAAACAAAATTTTTTTTTAAAGATTAGTTGAGGGTGGTGGCGCATGCCTGTCGTTTCAGCTACTTGGGAGACTGACACAAGAGAATCACTTGAGCCCAGGAGTTTAAGGCTGCAGTGAGTCATGACTGTACCACTGCACTCCAGCCGGGGTGACAGAGCAAGAGTCTGTTGAGAGAAACAGGAAAAGGAAAGGGGAGAAGGAGAAAAGAACATTCATGACGCGGGTGTTGGCCCGAAGGTTTCAGCATGGTCAGCAGCTGTGGGTGTGTTGGGTTTGGGGTTGTTGGGATGAGGAACAGATGAGCTGCATCACAATCAACCACTTGGGAGTGGAAGCTTTACCTGGGCCAAAGATGATGGGATACAACTGGGTCTCAAATAACTTATATCAGGCCTAAAAACGGAATGCCAATTAGCAACCATACGAAGCAAATAGACAACACCAGGAGATGCCCGACCTCAAGGCAGGTCCCTTAAATTGCATCCCTCCTTGGACACTGACTGTGCAGTGCCAGAGCGGCCAGGCAGGAGGCCAGGACAGACCTGCAAGGTGAGGCATGCCACACAGAGGGAGCAAAGGCTACGCCACTCTCAGTGCTCTTGGGGTGCAGGGGCAGTGGTAGTGACATCCTCCCAGGCATGATGACGGGCAGGGACGATGGTGGGGGGTGCCTCCACCCACTCGCCATTCTCCATGGTGCAGAGGGAACCTGGCCCAGGTTCTCATGAAGACCGAGGGGACTGGGAGGAACAGACAAGGACCTGAAAAGGCTGCAGGGTTCCTGCCAGGCGGCGCTCCGAGCACAGAGCTGGCATTGTTAGTTTACTGAGGTCTGATGGATATAGAGAACTGCATCCATTTAACTGTGTGGTTTCAATGAGTTTTGACATAGATATGTACACCTGTGAAGCTGTTGCCACAAAGAAGATGGGCCAATCCATTGCCCCCCGTATTAGTCTGTTTTCATGTTGCTATAAAGAAATACCTGATACTGGGTAATTTATAAAGGAAAGAGGCTCAATTGACTCACGGTTTGCATGGCTGGCAGGTCTCAGGAAAGTTACAGTCAGAGCAGGAGGTGGAGCAAACACCTTCTTCATGATCTTGGGCAGGAGGAATTGGCACTTATAAAACCATCAGATCTCGTGAGAACTCCCATCAGATCTCGTGAGAACTCCCTATCATGAGAACAGCACGGGGGACGCCACCTCCATGATTCAATCACCTCCCACCAGGTCCCTCCCCTGACACCTGGGGATTATGATTCAGATTACAATTCGAGATGAGATTTGGGTGGGGACACAGCCAAACCATATCATCCCCAGAAGCTTCCCTGTGCCCCTGTCACCCCATCCTCGCCCACCCTCATCCCCAGGCAACCTCGGATCTGCTGTCAGGGTAGATTCAAGTTTTTTTTTTGAGACAGGATCTCACTCTATTGCCCAGGCTGGAGCGCAGAAGTGCAATCATGGCTCACTGCAGCCTCAACCTCCTGGGTTAAGTGTTCCTCCCACCTCAGCCCCCTGAATAGGGACTACAGGAGCTCACCACCACACCTCATTAATTAATTATTATTATTTTTGAGACAGAGTCTTGCTCTGTTGCCCAGTCTGGATCTCGGCTCACTGCAACCTCCCCCTCCTAGGTTCAAGCAATTCTCCTGCCTCAGCCTCCCGAGTAGCTGGGATTACAGGTGTGCACCATCATGCCTGGCTATTTTTTTTGTATTTTTAGTAGGGACAGGGTTTCACCATGTTGATCAGGCTGGTCTTGAACCCCTGACCTCAATCCACTCGCCTCAGACTCCCAAAGTGCTGGGAGTACGGGTATGAGCTATTGCACCTGGCCTGAGATTTTGCCTTTTCTAGGATTTCATCAAGGATAGAATTATATGCAGTATTTGGTCGGGCATGGTGGCTCACGCTTGTAATCCCAGCACTTTGGGAGGCCGAGGTGGGCGGATCACGAGGTCAGGAGATCGAGACCACGGTGAAACCCCGTCTCTACTAAAAATACAAAAAATTAGCCAGGCGCGGTGGCGGGCCCCTGTAGTCCCAGCTACTCGGGAGGCTGAGGCAGGAGAATGGCGTGAACC